TTATGCCATAGAGTCTGCTAATTAATTGTAATTACCAAGAACAGGAAATTTCAGTATGACCAGATCATGTTTACCCAGAATAGCAAAGTTGGGGAACTGTTCTTTACGAGATATGGAACCATAGGATTTTAAAAGTTGGGTAGAACAACAGAAACGAGTGGGTTCAAATAGCTCCCATCGTAGTTTCGGGGACTGAGAAAGTGGGCCTCAGTTTCAGGACCACCTAAACATCTGAATAAGGGAAGCAATGGCGTCCAGTTTCCTAGTTCAGTGATGGCCTTTTGCCCCACAACCTGAGGACTAGGGGCACTGAAAAAAGCCACACCTCTGCTTCTGGGTGGAGTCACCAAAGCTAAGATGGAATTTAGTCAAAATGTCTCATTGCATCATCTTGTCTCTGTTAGACTCCAAGTTCTTTGGACATAGTGTTCTTGTCTATGCGACATGAAGCAACCAGTAAACTCTCAGGAAGAAAAACCAATCCAAACACTTAGCTGGTATCTTGGAGGAATACTGAAAGTCTGAGTGACTGGAGTTTTAGAACTGAATTAAGTAGCTGTTCTTGCTTCCTGTGACACGCACAGTCCTGTCTAGATGAACCTGTTCCGTGCCGGGAGTAGGGCCTAGAATCCCCTAGAAACTGCATGGCAGCCTTTCGAGCGGCTTAACCTCATTTCTAGACTTAAGGGAAGCTTTTCTGTTTAGTCTAGTTTTTAAACTGTTAGTATTTTAAGTAGCAAATTTTCATTTTTTTTATTCCAAGTGAAAAAAACTTGTGTGTGAGATCTCAGCATGTAGAATGAACTAAGGCACCGCTGAATGTCCCAGTGATAGCTGTCCTGTTACCACTAATGATAAATATGGAAAATCATGTTGGGTTTAAACCAGTGTCACTACCTAACTCATTCCTAAGTGAGTCCTGCCTGGCTCTCCAACGCTCTCACCGGGAGTGTCCGAGGCTCAGCATATAGGCTTAGACCTGTACGCCCATCATCGGTGTCTCCCCGGTGTTTGTGTGGTGTGTGTGCAGGTAGGCACTGGACTGACTCTGCATGCATATAGAGACCAAAGGACAACATTAGGAGACCTCTGCTGCTCTCGCTTGTGTTTTGTTTTGTTTGGGTTTTTGAGACTTAGTAATTTGGCTGCACTAACTAACCCAAAGCCTCCAGGGTTTGCACATTCTTGCCTTCTCCAACACTAGATTACAAACGTGCACCACCATGCCTGGCTTCTTCACATGGATATTACATAACACACACACACACACACACACACACATCATGAAACTTCAACAGCTTTCTATTTCAAAGTCCTTTGCAGGACTTTAAAGGCTTCACCTCCTGGGATCTTCACTTTACTAGCCTTGAGGTCATAGATCTCTTGGGCTCTCTGTTTCTTTCCTTGTGGTTTTCTGCCTGGAATGCCCTTGGAAATTCTGCTTTTTTTTTTTTTATCTGTCTCACAGTAGACCGCACTTCCCAGCAAAGGCCCATGCCTGTGGCTTAACATTCTGTCCCCAGAATGAAAACCTGACACAGTCTCAGCATCAAGCTCTTGTTTTTTGGATAAATAGAAAAAAGATAATTAAACAGATTGATGAACTAAAAATCAACTTTGCTTTCGTTGGTATAAGGCAATATACTCTGAGTGCGAGTCGTTTTAGCCCACTAGAAGGACACACTCCAAGTCACAGACACCCTCCACTGCTTTGTAGAGTCAGTCAGCAGGAAGCAGTGTGACCAGAAGCTCCCATAAAGGGAGAGCCTGGCGGGTGGTGGGGGTGCACACCTTTAATCCTAGAACTCAGGAGAGGGGGAGTGCGGGGGCAGAGGCAGGTGTATCTCTGAGTTCAATCTCTGAGTTCAAGGCCAGCCTGGTCTACAGGGTGAGTTCCAGGACAGGCTCCGAAACTACAGAGGGAGACCCTATCTCAAAAAACAAAACAAGATCAAAAAGGAGGTAAACTGAGGCATCAGTCTGCTCCCTGCCTGTTGTTCTCACTCCTCCAATGCACTCTGTACATATTTCTCAGGATTATTTTCTTACGTGTTCCTTTGGACTTTTCAGTGTTGGAAAGCAGACGCCCAACGATCCCTGCCAGCTACCCACGAATTCCAAACAAGTTATGGAAGTCTCACAGTCGCCCCAAGGGATGCATTCTGACTGCTAAGACCTGCCCTGGTGGGCTCTGTCTCACTCTGAGGAGTCTCTTCCACCCCGTTCGTCTCTGTTATTCCACTCCTTGAAGAACGCGAAGAGCTCTGCTGTCAGGCAGTAACTATGCGCGGAGCAGCCATTCCCGCTGGTGAATGACACTGGCTTGTCTGGCTCCCAGGAGGCAGGTCCTGGTGTTTCAGATGGAACTCTGTTTCTCAAGAGCCATTGTTTGGTATTGTACTTCCAGGGCATTTCTGCCTCCAGGTGACTCCAGAAAACACTTAGAATTCTCTGTCCTGGCTTTTCCTTGCCCTGTATTCCTAGATTCATCATAGTATTTGTCAATTTACCTTCCTTTGTCTCCCGAAGTCTGCCCCACTCACTCACTACTCTGTGACAGAGTCTAGTATTTATAACTAACAAGAATCAGCTGCGAGGAGCCAGCTGAAATGCAGGTAGATTTCTGAGCTCATCTTTGAGAGCTATGCATTTTAAATCAGGCTGCTCCACTGACCATGTTGAGAAACACTTGAATTGTAATCATGAACTGTCCTTCAGCATTCATTCATTCATTCATTCACTTAGCCACATGCACAGGCCTTTCCTTTACATCAAGCTTTAATAACAAGAATTGGATTTGACAGGAGCATTTGATTAGAAATGTGGACTATGTTTACTGTTATTAGTTATAAACTACTATTTCCTAAGCCTCCTTAAGGATAAGAATAGGCTCATGTCTACCCTATCCAGCTCTGGGAAGCAGCTTACATGAAAGGCTTATTTGGCCCATCACTGGGTAATGAGAAAATGTGGAAGAATTCTTCCCTTCCAGACTGATGGGGAAAGAAATGCTTCTCAAAGTTAGATGTGCGCCTTTGTTCAAAGATGGTTTTCTACAACTTGGACTGCCCCGCTGATGCCTTGTGGCTGCCACGTGTAAACATGGGAATAGCCGACCCAGGTCCGGGTGATGGCGACGGGGGGGGGGGTGTAGGTTCATGGGCTCAGTCTCTGCTAAGGGCCTGAAGTCTGAGCAGGCCGTATCTCTAGGACTCCATCACGGGTAGGCCTTAGCTCCGCCACCATCAGTTCCCTTTGGTCCGCCACATCGCCATCTTGTCAACTTGAGTGGAATGTCAGGCTGGGCCCAAGTGAAAAAGACCTACCTGCAGGTTTATCCTGGTAAAGCCAAGAGTGTGTGTCCCCACAGAGCCCCATTCTCAAGATCAGCAAAAGCTCTCCAGGCAGCGCGTTTTGTTGTTGTTGACCCCATTCTGTTGACTTTGATAGCCTTGTGTGCTCTATGTCGCTCCAGCTCTCTGCTGCCCCCAGCAGGCCCTTCGCTTCTTATCTTAGCCAAGCCTGGCTGGCCCTGAGGTTACCAGAAAGGATAAAGGTCTTCCAGCCTGAGATTGATCATACATTTTGTGATCTGTGTGTGTGTGTGTGTGTGTGTGTGTGTGTGTGTGTGTGTGTGTGTGTGTGTGTGTATTTGGCCATTGATTTTCATTCTGGTTGTAGGAAGGTGCTTTCTACTTGACCTCTCTTCAGTTATTGTTGGCACGGTGTGGTCTTTTTTCTCTAGCCAGCCACCATCTTGCTGGCACAGTGTAATCTTTCTTCCCTAGCTGGCCACCGTCTTGCTGGCATGGTGTGTCCCTTCTTCCCTGTCTAGCCACCGTCTTTCTTGTCTTCTGGTTAAAGCAACCATGCTCTGAGATAGGAGAAGAGGCTCTTTTAGTAAAGACAGAATGAGCTAAGCACAGGCATATGAAATCTGGAGTAAGATAGGCGGTGATTTTAACCCAGACTCTGCTGACCACTGGCTCTTTGAACTTGAGTGGTATTTTTTCTGTTTTTCTCTCTCTGTTAAAGGGTGTTATGTAATAGCAGCCCAACAAAACTGGCTTGTAGATGATGCTCCTGAGGGCTTTCTTTTCCTTCCTCGTGGAGTATTTTTACATTGAGTGAGGCAGTCACAGCAAGGCCCTCGTGCTATAGGAATTAGCAGTCGCTGTGCTATAGTTGTTTGTGTCTGTGTCTTCCCTTCCTCTCCGCTGTCCTCCTTCTGTGCTCTGTGGTCTCTTACCTTTAAAAAACATTGTGATAGGAAGATGTTTAGTCAGTGAGATAAGCAATTCCTTCTCCCAGTACTGACACAAAGGACTTTCACTGGCCTACAAGCTTTGGTAGTAGCAACTTCGCACTGTGAGCTTCAACCCCCATAAAACCTCGATTATATGAGCACTAGGCAGCTCTTCTGTTGGCAACATTGCAGGTCAAGGCCGGTTCTGTCTTTAATCTCATCTGCTGGACCCTTACTTGCCAGACATTTTATGCATGATGTCATATAACTATCAGAACAGCCTTGGCTATCAGGTTATCAACCACTGAGACTTCGCTGAAGGTCACACAGCCAGCAAAGGTCATAGTTGACATTTGAATCAGGTTCTGCCTGCATGTAGGTTTGTGCTTGAATGGGGTGGTTCTCCTGTCTCTGAAAAACTAAGGAATCCCAAGGTCCAACAAGGTATTGGAGCAGCCTGCGGGGCTGCAGACCTGCGTTGGAATCTGTCATTGCCCTATGGGGGCTTGTAAAGGGTGAGTTGAAGGCAGTTATAACTATGACACCACAAAGCAGCAATGTCAGACCATGACCTTTCGTCTCTTGCTATTCTAGTGTTGATTGATAGATTACATTTCCAAAGATGACATCAGTAATTCATGCTTTATTACTCCTGAATTAGTATAATGCTTCAAATCATCTTGTTGTAATTCAGCGTAATTATCTGTAATTAAAAATAAATTCCTGTAGGGTGAGAATATTAATTCCTATTCAAATCTCTTTATTTCAGTGTGGCTGTGAATGAGCCAATGCCTGACTCTTAGGCAGCCGTGCTGAGCACTTCCTGTGGAGGTAACTTTAGTCTAATGTGTTTGTACTTTGTACTCTTTTCGTGAGCTCCAGAACTCCTCCGACAGTTTGACTTCCTTGATGTTCTGACAGGTACTAGCTTTCTATGTTATTGTTTTGTCTGATTAGTTCACTTGAAGATTCTGATGAGAACCAGGCAGAGCATTCAAGGGCAAAATTCATTCAGGCATATACAGCTAGACTGCATAGAATTTCAGGAGAACCAGGCTTCCCCCAGGACTGGGCCTCATCTGCCAGCAGCAGCCACGCCGCTGGGGGCTGAGGCCCAGCAGTCTGGTTTTAACCAGTCCTTCAGTGTCTCTGATGGCTCGAAGTTTAACAGCTCCTCCCTGGGGAGGAATGGAGAATCCTGCCCCGGCAGATGCTCGGGAATATGCTGTAAGCAAGCCATCACTGACCTTAGAAAGGGTAACAGATCTTTGCAGCTCGGAACTTGTTGCCTTCTCTGGGTCTCGACACCTGCTTCCTGATGCAGACCAAGTGTCCTTTCGCTCCTGTGGGAGCAAAGAGGAGGCTGGTGGCACGATCATCTTCCAGGTGTCAGGGTGGAGAACCAGCTGGGGACGCCCCCAGGGAAATGCTCCCAGGTGTCTGAAAACACTGAAGCAGATCCAGGAGGTGGTAGAAAAGGGGGACTTCTCACACAGGGTACATACCGATACTGAACTGGCGGCACAGCCCACTTGTGGCAGCCTGGGAGACCTCTGTGGAGGCGGGCTACAGTACGATGACAGATAAGGCAATTCGGAGCTCAGAGTGTCTAGAAATCCACCTCCAGAGTTGGTTTCTAAATGTTTCCATGTAAGAAGCTCTGTGTCTCAGCCAGATAATTAAAGCTGGTGTTTTAGCTATGTTTCCATGCTGAAGTTTTATTATGTGAGAAAGACATTACTAAGATCCATAAAGAAGTTCTCACCTAAGCCTGAATGTCCCTTGAGTAAATGTCTCAGCACACACATTTAACTGCCATAATTAATCACCACATGGTCTCCATGAGGGCATGAGTTTTAGTGCATGTATTTGGGTGGTACATGAGTACATTATAAATGTATTATCTCGTTGAAAATTTGAAGCAGTGCAGAGAAATCTGACCTGTAAAAAGCAGGGCACCATGCATTCCTTTCTGAGCCACATAGTAATAATTCCTCTTCTTCATATAAAAAGGGGTGTCTGATTGCATCTGACAAGGTTGGGAAAGTGAACACTTGTGACTTGCTTCCCTGGTCACACAGGCTATGCTCTGTTCTCTGCCTGCTTGTTTCAAGGTCTGTTAGGGTCAGCGAAAATGAGTGATTCCATTCTGAGTATTATCAGTGGAGAGTGACCTCCTTATTTTCTGGGTGAATTATCTGTGTGTATGCTCTAACCCCCTGCCCACGCCCCAGTGCAGCCTTTTCTATCAGTCTGTTATTTTGATACCCTTCTGTTGAGTCCCCGTATTTCCTCATGGGCTTACTGCTCTTATGCTGAGGGTCGGTGCTCTTTCATATCCTTACGAAGAATTCAACTTTCTTCTATTTTTGTCTTTCCCAGTTGTGATTCACACACCCTCGTTCTCAGAGCAGAGCAGGGCAGAACACTTTCTGTCTCTTCCAAGTCCTAGCCAAAATCTTACCCTTTCGCTCTGGGTTGCCTCCCCTATCCCAGCACCGGTTGGTTTCAACCATTTCCTGCTGATACCAACTCACTGAGTACATGAACTTCCGCTATTATCAACTGTGTGGCTCGACGGGGCTTCTAATAAGACAGCAACAATGAGCATCTGATCATGTTTTTGCTTCTACCACCCGATCCCTCCACTTCTAAAGGCAACTAACTTGGTAGACCTTAGGCAGACATTTATAGGAATCCAGTGTCTACCAGGCTTGTAGCCTATGAGGTAGCCTGACAGAAACACTGTACCCCAGTCAAGTTGGGAAATGGTTAACTTGGCCAGCTAGAATTCATCTTTGAGGCAATTGAAACGCAGACGTTGGCCAGTGCCCACTAACTGTGTAAGCAGAATCCAAGAAGAAATGAGCATGAAAAGGCTGGAATCTGACAGAGCCAAGACTTCCTAAAGGAGAAGCAGCATGGGGGGAGGGGAGGGGAGCTCTGAGGTGTTTGGTGGACTAGCCTTGGATGCCTTTGATTCACCTCCAATACCTTCAGGACCCCAAGATTTCCCTTTGCAGCCAACAAAGGCAAGCAGAGCCAGAGTCGGGACTCACTCTCCAGGGTACTTTCCTTCCATTGATCTACACCTCAGCTTTCTAAAGCCCTTTCCTATAGCCTTCCTTGGCAGAAGCCACACTCATCTCCCTCCCACATTAAGCAGCTCTGTGTACAGCGGGGTTATATCCAATGTCATGTATGAAGTTTTGGCTTCGGGAACTATATTGCCAATGTGACTGAACAGAAGCAGCAGTGTGACCAGAACTGAGAAACACCCAGCTCTTCCCCAACCCCAACCCTTCCGAGCATCTGGTTTGCTTCACAGACATGTGTGAGGGAAAAATACTTCTAATATTTCTAAGTTTTGGAAAGGAGCTTCTCCCACTGCCAGAGGTTACACTCACTGACCAACGCTAAGGAAGGGGCCGGTCAACTCCACATCATTGACTGCAACCTTAGCTCTTCCTGGTCAGTCTGTGCCTGTATTGCTGTCTGACCCCTGATGCCATTTGGTTCTACACTCAGTGGTAGAGACAGAGTGATGGAGTCCGTGCCTATGGAAGATCAGAACTGGAGAGGAGATTCAGAAAGAGCTTCGAGCGATGGTCACCCCGCAGCGTAAGTGTACGCGGTTAGGAAGGAACCCTTGCTGGTTCCCATGAAGCCAGGGTCAGAAGGGAGGACAGGAGAGGAGCAGATTGCGATCAGGTTGGGTAGGAAACATTCACAGTAGTCAGTGATGAGAAGCCAAGCAGCACCACAGCAGCTTTAGAGAAGTAAAACTGGCAGCAGCTGCCATGGCTAGAGTTACAGAGAGAGCTACGGAAGAGGGCGTTGAAGGGGTAAGTTGAAAATAAGAGAGAAAGGAGATGAGTTCAGTAGGGAAGTGCGTGTCTATGACAAACCTCTTCAGGGATGATGGAGAGTTCTGCGGGGAGGTGGGAGGTGGCAGGGTGGGGGGTGGGATGTTGGGGGTTGGGGTGGCAAGACAGGTTTTCCCACCATAGAGAGAATGGCTGCCTCTGAGATGTGTGAACTCTGAGTTTGGTTCAGATTTAGGCTTTTCTTTCAAAGTGGGTGGAATCTGAAAAAAATGTAGACTTACCAATGGTGGCAGTAACCACGTCCCCGTGGTAGTTTGGTTTTTTTGTTTGTTGTTGGTTTATCACTGTAGCATTGCTTTCTTCTTCTCCATGTCTTTAGGAATACCACATATGAGATGATCACTCAAAGTTTATGTGAAGAAACTTGATTCCCAGAAAACTGCATGTAATCGTCACTGAGCGTTATTTGTGAGGTATGCATGTAATCACTGAGAATCTTACCTTCTGTCTATAAATCCCACATGCCTCAACCCACAACTTTGAAGACTGAACTTCATTCAAGACCTCAAGATATACTTTGCCCATGCTCTGCGCCCTGACCTCCCTAGGAGTCTAACCAAATGCATCCACTTCTGTCTCCCGAGATTCTAGGCTGCACACAATCCCTGTTAGTGAATAGCCACTGAACAGCTCTGGAGGAAACCGGGAAAGATTTCAGATGCCCTCATTTGAAATAGCACACCTTCCTTCTGCTGTCTTCAGTTGTTCCTTGCCTCCTAGTCCTGAGTTCCATAAGTTACATGGTATTTTTGCCTCCCTAGCTTACTTTCTATTGAGAGCACCAGAATGTCACTTCACTGGGAGTGGCCATTTTGTGTTTAGTCCCCAAGTCTGGCACATCTCAATCTCTTCTTTCTAGTCAGCATCTTCTATCTTCTTCCAGAATCAGCCTCCTTTGCCTCCAGCACCTCCTAGAACACTCAGCTGTGCAGTTTCTGTGTTTACAGTTTAGCACGGGTTCGTCATATTTACTTGAAGGGGAAGGTTTCAATTATGCCGCAGCCGGCTCACTCTCTTAACTCCCACTCACTACCCGCTCTCCTTCACCTAGACTTCTAAATCTTAGTCAACTTCGTGGAAGGAAGACAATAAAAGATCCTTCTGGGTTGGACCAATTGTGTGACTCTTTGCAAATAAGAACTAATTGTCTAAAAGAGAAATTAAACTCTGAGGGCAGCAAGAGATTAGTAGGAATATTGCATCAGCAACCTGGGCAGCTGCAAAGATGTTTTAACTGCAGAGAGAATTTAACTTTCCAGAAGAGGCCCGGGGAAGGGAAGTGATCTTCTCAGGATCACTCAACTAGCTAATGGAGGTCCTCTTCATTCCTAGACAAGACCCTACAGGAAAACCTTTCTCCTTTGGTTTTTGGTTTCTACTACAACAATGTAGACATATCTACGTAGTCATATCTATGTAGTCAGTCATATCTATGTGTAATGTAGTCACGTGTGCGTTACACCCACCTGGATGTTCCGAAACAGAATCTCTGAGGTTAGAGCAGAGAGGACAAGGTCTGGTCTCAGGTTCTCCCTTGTCAGACTCTGCACTTTCCGCATGTTTTGTTAACAGTGAAGAAAGGCCCTGGTGGTTCTCCTATGTTTTCATAGTGGAAACTAAGGCTCCATCTGGAAAGAGAGGCATGTGAGTGCCAGGCTGCTGCCCACGGCTCCAGGCCTGTGTCTTTAAGAAGAGCTCAGCAAACCTAGTAGCTGCTTTTGTTTGTATGTTGAGGTGGAGGAGGAGCCTGGCTGGAAGCAGTACCTGAAGCCTGTGGGCGTTCTCTGAGGAACTGTGAGTCAGGCCTGCACATGGCCAACTGGAGTCCTTGACGTAGTTGGAAATGATTCAGGGGCACAGCTGAGACCTCAGAATGCCAGGCTATGAGAGGAAACCACAATCCCTGGCACAGAGCTGGCCCAGTGTGGATGACAGGAGGTCATCTTGACTTGAGCAGTAGCAGAGTCACCACTGGCAGCAAAAGAGATGGAGGCAGGATTGCTTTCCGTGGAATCAGGTCCGTGTGCGAGTACACAGAAAGCCCTGGTGTTAGGAGCCAGTGGTCCAGGATACATGCTTAAGGGACTACCAAGACTTGATTATTTGGCTGGATGTACTGGAGGGTAGCTACCCACCTGTCTGATGCATAAGGTGGCAGATCTAAACCCTTGACTATGTTTAGAGGTTGGACACATAGCTTCTGTAGGTAAAGTGGAGGCCTTAACTAGAGTCTTACTTGAAAGAAGAGGAGTTAATACTAGAGCTGTCTCCAGCCTTTCCTTCATCTTGATCCTCCCAGAAAGTAAAATAACTGGCCTCTTTTCCCTTGCAGATGCCGAAGTTTGGGCAGAGCTCACAAATATGTTGATTTCATGTCTCTGTTTGCACTTGAAGCCATGCTGTTGGGCAGACAACACAAACGAAGTAGGTGAAGAGGCAGGCCGTCTGTCATTCAGAGTTTGCAGGCATCTTCAGATTTGGGATCTGCATCTGCACACTCATGTAGAAACCAGAGTCACAGGGCAGAGAATGGGCTTCAATAATGACAGGAAGGTTCCTGGAGGAGGCCAAAAGGCAGATGCAGACAGAAGAGTTGCCCTCCTCCACATAGGCCAGGGAGCACAGGGCACGTGATAGAGAGCACTTTTACTGGTGTGTTTGTTGTCTCGGGTCTTTCACACATTCTCGTTGGGAAGCTGATATTGAGAGAGGGTGTCTTTGACTAAGTGGCTAATCCATGGAGAAGGGGTTGCAGTGAGGTAAGTGCCAAAGATCCCTTGGCAACACTTCCTGCCTGTGATTCTGTGGTCCAGACTCAGGAGGCGGCAGTGGATGAGTGCTTCTTGAGTTGCAAGAAACAAAGCATACAGCGGAGGGCATTCTCTCAGATGAGGTTCCAGGATGATTAGAAATGGAGCAGGCTGGGGCTGGGGGTGACATGACTTTTAGGACTTCCAGTCTCCATGTGCACGCATTGCACCGTGGCGTCTCCTGAGGCTGCTCAGCCAGCCTTGAGTCCTGTTGCTCCTGATCTGTGATCTTCAGCTTCTCTTCTCAACATCTTTGTTTTAATAGACTTCTCTCCAGTACATCTTCTGTTTAATTGTAGTTTTCGATTTCTAACCATTTTGACTTGCCCTTGACTGGAGATGACTAAAGCTGCTCACTGCCTTACCTTTCAGTCTTGACCCCTATAACAAACAGACGGGGCCTTTGTGTATTTCTCAATTTAAAATCCTGTAGATGGGAATATGAGTGGCACAGTGGACCCCTCTTTGAACTCACCTCTTTGAACTCACCAGGCATGTGTCTACTTCTGGCCAAATCATTTGAGGACAGAGGTAATGAGGAGACACCTAGATGTGCTTATTCCAATGAGGACTCTTGATGGGGGAAGTCCTTCTGTGTATATGTCTCTCTTATTGGTTGATATATAAAGCACTGTTGGCCAATGGGGAAGCAAGATAAGTGGAACTAGGAGTCAAAGAGGATTCTGGGAAATGTATTCAAGAGTAGGGGTCTCCATGTGATCCCAGAGGAGAGTGTGCAAGTCTGGCTTTCTCGGTAAGATAAGACCTTATAAAATATATATTAGTAATTATGTGTTACTAATTAAGTCAGAGCTAGCCATTAAGAAACCATAGCAAACGGCCAACAGCTTCATAATTAATATAGTGTCCTGTGTGTTCATTTGGGACTGATGCAGCTCAGGGACCAGAGTGGTGGGGAGAATGCTCGTTAGAGACTCTGGGCAGAATGATACTTACAAAGGACTTAAATGAACTTTGTTTTATCATGGGTAGTCAAGACTTGAAAAGCTAAGTTAAAACAAAATCATAGGTAAATGCCATACATTTAGTTGTTGTGATTAGACACTTAGAATATGGAGACATTTTGAAGTGGCTTTGGTAGACTATGCAGGACAAAATGCAATATTTATAAAATGAAGAATAAATTGGTTAAATAATAAGGAGATCAAAATACTGAATTTGGGGGAAATCAAATTAGAAAATGGTAGTGAAGGGAGAGGAGCGAGAGAAGAGAAATGTCAGAATTCAGGCAGTGGATCAATTTGGAACACATGCCCTGACCATGAGCAAGTAAAAATACAGATATAGCAATGCCAATTTAGACCTCAGTGTACGGAAACCAGCAGAATATTTTGTAGTTCCAGCATTGGAGAAATCCTAATGTGTTTGTAAGAAATACATCTGGGTCTCAAGGAAACACCAACTCTGAAGTATTTCTGCACAGGTAAAAGTGTTACTTCTGCACAGGTGTGCACCTATGTAAGGTGAGGAAGCAAATGACCACACACAGTAGGGTCTTCTGAGTTGTTATTTCCAATGCAAGGGGTCCCGTGCTTCATTCTGAGTGACCTGAACTCAGTCTTATATTCCTATACTATTGACTAATAGAGTGTGGTGGTGTAGTTTCCAGGAATACATGAAACTTGATCATATATTCCAATTTCAAGAAACGTGACCCTGGAGGGATTTGAATTTCTGTCAAGTGGTGTCTTCACAATTTCTTTAATTGTACTTTGTATTATTTGACCCTTTAATAGAAAAGATAGCACATTTTGCTGACATTTCCTGTAGTCTCCATATCTTTTAAAGAAGAGGAGAAAAGGGAATAAAGATATTTAAGAGACTTGGAGATGAGGGTGAAAGAAAATAAATAAAAAGGATGTAAAATAATAGTTGGATTCCTTTTAATTCCTTGAAATTTAGAAAAAGAAGGGCTGAGGATTGACTTTTAAAATTAAGCCTGGAAGTCAGGGGCAGCAGATGGGTGGATCTTTCCTTTATTCCAATGCTACAATTAAAATCAGAGAGAAAAATGGGGTTGCTGAAACTATTGGCAAGTTGATTGCCAAGCAACCGATCGAATTGCAAAAGGCCAAGCTAATTCACTTTCCTTAACAACAAAATAATTGGGCTCTGTCTGAACTATGTGAAATTATCTCCATTTTAAAGACACCAAATGAGTTTGATTACTCAGTCATCAATTCACTTCTCAACACAAGCTTGTTATAGCAGCTAAAGTAGTTGGTCTTGGACCAAAAATGTCTTACTGGGGTACCATGAAAGTACCCAGAACTGAAACTCTCATGAAAGCCAGTCATGGAGTTTGCTTGTAGAGTGCAGTGGCAGAGAGGTGGATAGTAGCTAGCTTTGGCCTTAGAATTTGTAGGAGATTCATTCAGAAATCTGCTCTACTGCACTCTTGATGATAACTACCGAGGGTGGGCACAGATTTCACAGGCCTGGGGCACCATCCCTCACAAGAACCCTCCCTCTCTTCATACATGGCCACAGTGTCCTGGATCTCCAGGTTACCTGATCTCAGACCCGGTGACTTAGTTCAGGGTGTCAGGGTACCACCCTCTCACGTGCAATACCTTGCTAGCGTGCTCAAAAAACTTGGGGAGTGCTGAACCCATAGTACAGTCACATGACAAAGGATGCCAATCATGACCAGGATACTGGGAAGAGTGGGGGGGGCAAGGCAGAGAGACAGACAGAGACAGAGAGGCTAGGGCCAGGTCGGGGAGAGTTCCAGACATGTAGTTACCGAGCCTTTTCCCCACAGAACTGTTTGTGTCACCCTTCCAGCATAGCCAAGTGTTCACCGACTAGGAATCCCATCCAGGCTTTGGTGTATGGGATTATTTTGTTTGTTGTTTTGGTTTGCCTGTGCACGTGTGTTTGCATGTGTGTGGGCAGGCGCATGCGGGTGAGCATGCATGTAGAGGCAGAGGTTGATATTTGGTGTCTTCCTTCACAGCTTTCCACCTTACACACCGAGGCAGAGTCTCACTTGTGACACAGTCTAGAGGTCGCGAGTGTGCTCATCTTCTCTGCCAGTTAAGGAATTAAAGGGCAGGGAAACTCTCAGTGTGACAGGAAGCAGCAGAGAAGTCTCAAACACCATAGACAGAATCAGCCGTTGAAGAAAGGTGTTATTGGCAGTGAGGAACCATAGACACAGCAGGCACGTGGGGGGGGGGGGAATGACTTTCTTCAAAGCCAATGGGGCACATAGGACTCAGGAGTCTGGAAGCTCCAGTCTTTTCTCAGGAGTGGGTTTTCTTAAAGTCTCTGAAGGGTTT